TTAACGAAGTGTCGACTAAGAAAAAAACGAATGTGCAGATTGAGTAGGTGGAACAAAAATCATTCGTACTTTCTTTTGGTGAATTCTGGCTCCTTCAAAGGTCAGCGCTTAGAAGTTGACCTGATAGCGTTCTATTCCTTCTAAGGGCTTCGAGATAGATATATTGATCGTATCGTGGTTGAAACATGGGGCAGGAAACGTTTATCTCGAGCTTTAAACTAACGATTCAACTCTAGCACCTTCGAAAACTCGAGAAGCGGGAGTATGTAGTAGCTCCACACCCTCTCTGTCACCTATTCTTTCGGTACGCCGTATGTAGGCGAGTTATTTTTGGTCCTATTACTCGGCTTTTTCACTGATTGCCATTGAAATTTTCGAACTTCGGGGAAGAGGCGTAGCAAGACGACTAGCTAGGAGTCGCTGCTCATCGTGAACGGATCGTATACCCAGAGTTCGACGGATGATGCATCTGTCTGGTCAAATCAACATGATGCCCTCAATATCGTGTAGATGTACCCTCTTGATTACCCAAGACGTTATTCCGGCTTCAGCTTAGACGACCTGCACGCTTAGCGATGAATTAGGATTTAGGCAGGTTTATACTGCAAATATCGCCACGCGATATTGTGCGATTTCTGCCGTAGACGTGATCATACTTGCTGTCGCTCAATCATTCACGTGCCGGGCTCAAACCGCAACAGGACACATTGCCAGAATGCACTCATGAGCCAACTAGCAAACATTTCTGGCAAGGTTCCCAAGCAGCCCTGTAGCTGACGCCTTCTGCCCCACATCCGCTGAAATGTAACTTTCGTTAGCATACTTTACTGGTCAAAAACTAGGCAGTCTATTTGTTTATTTACTTATTTATTTACATATTTAGTTATCTCCTTATATATACGCCAAAACTGCATGCCCACCTCTAAGGGAGATGAAGAGGATAAGTATAATTGTTTTCAGAATATGTACTACTATGAATGCGAGAAGGATGGTCCGTATTTGAAAAGCCGAGCCAAGGGTTGTATAAGTCATGACAAGCAAAGAAGAGTCCCCATTGGACAACGAGATGACTTTGGAGATTACATGTGAGTCAATTCATTAACTACTTACGACTTTTTCTAGCTAGTCGAGGTCCAAGGTTCACTTACGACGTTGGCGAGTTATGAATAAAACTTCGGCCTCCGAAGGGGTTCGAACCCGTCTTGTGCTATTCGTCTACCGTGCTCTCTATCCCTTACACCACCGAGAGTCCGTTGGCCCTGGTCTTCTTAATGGCTTTTCTGTTATGGTTTACCAGCGTTAGAGAAGTTTAACTGGTAGCCCGGACCAGTTGTAGGTATAACTGATTCCTTCTAGATGATTCGTAGCTTGAGACACTTCCTGATAGAAGCATGCCATCAAAAAAATCCTGTAAAGTTAAAAAATCCACCTCACTTATGATCTGCAACCCACAATTTGCTAACATAACGTAAAAGCGAATATTTCTGCGGACCCCTTTTTCTTGGAAGTTTTTAAAAACAGAACAAAATGAAAGCGCTCGAAAATATGTCCAGGTGATTTTTGTAGACGTTCAAGTCTGCAATAAAGGACCGACTATATGTCGTACGTTCGTATCTGTTCACGATTTTTGTATGCCCTTTCAGACAACCGAGCAGAAACTGGCCCAATAGTCTGTACTCATTCAAAAACATATTTCATAAAAATAATTGGCGTATTTTATGACCCAATCTGGTAGGTTTATTGGATACCGGTTCTACTGGTTACGATTTTAACGTAGTCATTTTGAAAATGGGGTATGAAACTCAACCTGAAGAAATAGTGACCTTTCGCTGTGAGACACAACCATCATTTTGCGGTTATGCACAACTGCTCCAGAACTTGAGTCGTGGCAAAATGGAGGAAATTTATGGCAGTTCTTATTTCTACCCTCCCGAATCTGACGAGTGGAGGGAATCGGTAGAAATGTCCCTTGCCTCTAAACGGGATGCATGGGCGTAAGCACCTGAACAACCTGAAAGCTAAGGATCTCTATCGCACAAAAAATCTTTGGACCATTTCTAATATAGAAAAGATACATATCGATCGGTATCTTCCAATATAACGACCATTTATCGATTTCCAGATATGAATGCCGTCTGAAATACAATGGAACAATTCAAATGTGTAGTGTCGGTTGTATACATAAAGGAGAGCATTACAAAGTCGGAGATCAATGGCCGGTAAGTGATACCCTTGAAATTACGAAATATTGCACTCTGATGAAAATCGAGTGGATACTGTATTAATATGCTAAATAGAGCAATGACAAAACACCTTGCCACATGTGTATGATCCATTGACCGGTTCCTCTCTAGGACAACCAATCCACGGTGAATTGGTGAAAGGCTTTCTAGGGACCCCACTGACTACCCTACTACATCGACTAGATTTTGTAGTCACTCCATGGGTCAAATAAAGGCCTTCATATCCACAGTTGGAACTCAATATGTAGCTCACTATGAGGTGCTGGGGGTGGAGAGAGAGGGGCACAGACCATTCACCATTTTATCACTTAGTATATCTCCAACCTTCCCTATAAAGTACGCCTTAACTTTGGTATTTTTTATTGAACCTGCTAGACCGCTGAGAACCTCTTTACTCAGAATTGAACTCAGATACGTGAAGAAACAAGGGACGCCCTTGAAAAGAACTTTTCGATCCCCATGTCTCTGCACTTGTGTTAGGAAGTGGCAAAAACCGGTGGATGAGAAAGTTTTCATCGAAGGCGTTTTTATGTCCCTGTAGATGTTGAGTGATGTAAGAGCCATCCCATTCGATTGGAAAAATGGTCACGTACTCCATCTTCCATTCATTTAAAAAACGGAAGTGGTGCTAATACAAAGTACATAACAGGTCTGCTGAAAAGTCTTTCCAAAATCAATTCGTTTACCTTTGTGGGTAGAAAGTAAGAGCATTACCCTAACGGTAATATTCAGGATGGTGAATTCGTCTATTATTGCAAGTCAAACGGTGGCCGCAGTCAGAAGGTGTGCATTGGTTGCCAACATCGTCAAAAACGACTTTATGATGGTGATAGATATCGTGAAAATGATTCTGTCTACGAGTGTGAGGTAAGTCAGGATGGGCGGAGCCTGCGCTGGAATGGGCGGAGCTTCTTGCCGTTTTTCCAAGCTATACTTAAAATTCATCCTTTCATAAGCTTTATTATAGATTCGTCCAGATTCCTTTGGACATAAACCAGTAGCATGTCTGTCTAAGGAACTTGATGGTTCAAAGGTTGAGCGAGTAATTGGATGTAGATGGTGAGTATTCTCCTCTTGTTCTCAAGTAAATGATGAGTTTTGAGCTGAATCGTAAGCAAGAGTCCCCAATAGTGTGAGTAAGACACATGTAGGACCAAAAAGGCCATATTCCATTGTAAGGGGACTTCTGTGAGTCGAACACACCTCCTTAGCATATCGATTTTTCGCTATGTCAAACAATATCCATGTTTTCTTCGAGAGAAGTTCATGTTCATTTGGTTTAGGTACCTGCAGTCACCTGAAGCAAAGATCGAACAGACGTGTGAGCTTGATGGTACAGGTACAAAAACAGCCGTCCGAACGCTTGGCTGCATTTACAGGCACAACGTAAGCTTTTCTTGATTGACGTTTATACTCGGTAGATTGTATCTGGCGTTGACTGGCATTCGGTCGCAATTGAGAGCGTATCGCATATAACGCAGCTGCCAATAAACGCCGCTAATTGGCTTGCTTCAGTATGCCATAGGTAACCAGCGGTTGTCTTGAAAATCTTGCAACGCGGCGAGACAGCTAGCCAAGATGACCACTATTGACATGACGCGCTGCGGGGCAACTAGCCAAGAGTAGCAGTGCGTTGTGAAAGGGAATTCTGCTACACATTACATTACTCAGAGAATAAACCATACTCGTTCAGGGATTCGACACGGTCTACTTGTCACCCGATCGATATACCATATGGAACATACCCGGTAAAAAGAAGGCTACTGGAATATCGTGTCGAGTAAGTGTGCACTTAAAGTATTATTAGAAAGTGAAATGATGGTATATTTTAACTGAACCGGTTTCTAGCTTACCCGTGACGGAGCGAAATTGGAAGTGTTCGATGTGAATCGGCTAGCCGAATTCACCCAGGGATTAACGTACGATCAACCGCGAGGGAAATGATGGGCCATGGTTCGGCTTATGTTCTCAGTTTTTAAGATGAAACCCCTCAGACGGCTTCATAAGCGAATAGGTGTTACAATTGCTAGCAACGATTTTTAACTTCTAATCGATATGGCTTTGTAAATCATATACCAAAGATCTTGATCAGCTTAGAAGCGCAGCAGCGTTGTACTGTAGGTATAGCCTGTCTCGATCCAGCTATTGGCTTATGACCAGCTAATGAATATTTAAGCGCTATTGTACGTTGGTTAGTCAGCATCTCAATCCGTCATTTTGCCCTCACATTCCTTCGCATTTTCTTTTCTAAATATTATTATTTTTGCCTCTGCACACCATTCAGTGTGATATTGTACGTGTTTCGTACCTAGGTAATTCTTTTTATTTGTTACGTGTAAATACATTTGTTTTTATTCAAAATATTTCTCATGTTGCAATAGTAATAAAAAATTTCCGCTGGATTCGTTTTTCTGTTGTACAAGTCATGTGTGTTTTTCAACACCAAAATATTGACCTCTCCATTAAGCATGGCACAAAAACATGGATAGGAATAAAAGGTTCCTGAGTTGACTTGTGGAAGGATGCGCCGCGCGTCTCATATCTGCTCAGAATTGTCGGAACGTTTAAATGCGTAGTTGGTAGTAGAGGCTAGATACAACACGGTGCTTTCACCTTCCCAAAGAGAGTTGGAACTTATTATTCGACCTCGAAAGCCGTGTTAGCTTAAGCGTGAACAGGTATGAGATCAGATCTCTTGACCATTTGTACGGTTGTAATACCCCTAGGCATTACACGAATTCACTGAGTGGACCTCTTGGATTGGGAGAACGTCCGTCGCGCGCGTCCGTCGAAAGTAGGTCACCCCGCCCAGATCGCCGCGGCGCACTACTCTGAGGTCTCGAGATGACATTACAGTACCACCAAGTGTCAGTGGAGCGAATGATTTGCATTTTGTCGTGTTATCTTCTCTTTTCGCTGAATGCCGTGGACCAAGCGCAATTCGTATGCCCCGCTGTCAACTGCGACGTTTGTCAAAGATCGCCAGCTGACCCGCCGCGTGCGGCTGCTGCAGCGTGACCCAGTTTAGACGGACGCGCGCAACGAAGCGCAACCCTTGAAATGTGAACTAACCGACTCCTCCGTGCCCAACAATACGCTTGACTCTGATCGTTGGGATATTTGCCTTACGCGCCATGTGCACGTGCAGGTGAGCCCTCTTATCTACCACATATGGAAAACCTAATGAGTCCAGGCTGTCCTGCTTTTATTTTGAGAGATAAGCTCAAGTGGACGGAGATAGTGCAGTGGCAAGTGGCGCACTCCACACGCGCATGATAACTGCTTCAAACTCCGGTTCGATACTCGCCCAGGCTAACAAATCCGTCCATCCGTCTGGGATCGGTTAATTGGTACTACATTCGGAGTGAAAGCACTGATCCATACATCGGCTGGGCACCCCACGTCACTGTATAAGCGACATACGTATTCAAACGTCGCAACGATTCTGAATGGGAGTTGAATGTTGGGCGCATTCCAAAAATGGGATTGATTGACTGTAAAAAACGTTATCCTTCGACCGTATTCAATATGTCCTGACTATAATTCATAATACCATATAAGCTTTCTGTTTCTGCAAGATCAACGAAGGTGGTGTAGGTGTGGCATGAAGGGGTGAGTGGATGATTGTGTGATAACTGCTAGTGACAGAGGAAAAAATGGACTCACATAAAGTCTTTAGTGTAGTAAAACCGGAAGTTGCTTTGCAGTTTCATCGATATTCCCATTCCGTTGACATCCCATGTTTTTGCCTCATCAATCAACCAGACCTCCTGAAATGATCTAAACAAAACACTGTTAGAACCCTTCAATTACCCCTCAAATCATCGAGAGTGCCAAGCTGAGCGCGAAGTGTTTTCGACACTTACTTCATTGCCTGTTTACATGTGTACAAAAGACTTCTGACTGAAAACAGAGGAACGAGGTGAAAAGGCAGAGGAAAGGGAGGGATGCTCTGTTGTGCTCTTCACCTCAAGGTTCAGAGGCAGAGCTGGAACGTCGCGAGAGGTGAATTCGGGGCTGGATGTCTTTTGATGAAACCATTCTCTAATGGGTCAGGATAATGGAGTATTCCATCTGCGTCCTACCGGAGGGGAAGACCATCAGAGACCATCGGGTTGTTGTGGGCAAGTTGGAAAGAAGTATAGGAGTGAAGATATAACCGGAAAAATCCCTCCACTGTGTTCTGCTTCCCTAACACTCATGGCTGGACCGCAGAAAAGGATGAAGCGCTAGCTTTCCAACAGGAACCAAAATTCAGCACGGGAATCCGGGTCAGACCGTAACCTCAAGGTGGAATAAATTGCAAGTGTCGGAAATCTCATAGGCAATACATTTTTATTAAAGGCACTACTATAACTAAATACACAAATCCCCAACCCTTCTCATATACGACGCATCGAAAAGGGACGAAAGCCCGCGCCCAAAGGCTGTGTAGTACCACAACACCATTTTGAGCCGAGGCTCATAGATGGGCCATTGTAGGGTTCGGTTCCCCAGCCAGCTGAGCTTTCGTTTATTGGCTTTATGCGCTTGTGGTAGTTTCGGAAATGATTTTGGGTCAAGGTTTTCGCTTGGGCTTAAGGAGGGACAAACGCAAAGGTAAGTGAGAGCTGGCTTGGCTAGAAAAAATGGAAAGGTTGTTGAATTGTCCGGAAGGGGTCTGTCTCCGCAATAGAGCGCAGGCAAGGGTACGGAAACGCTTTCTACCTTCACATAGTCACTTACTCAGAGACGCTTCACAATTGAAAACCTATCTTTTTTAATTCCAGAAAATTCCTTCGTCAGTGAATTCTTTTTACCCTGTGCACTACTTGAACATAAGGGAACAGTTCACGATAAAAAAGGTTACTGAGTTCTTCCTTTAGGAATACTCAGCGCCCCCCATGGGTGGTAGAAGGGACCCTCTCGCTCCCACAATCTCGGCGCTCAGGGCATAGTGGAAGCCCTGTTGCTGCCGTAGTTCGCTTTCCCGGTGTCACGTTAGACGGGTGTCGAGGCAGTACAAATTGTTATTATCGTTCTAGGACCCACGCACAATCAGCTAATCGCCAAGTGATGAGGCGACGTTTTTCTCCCATTCTTTTTTCCTCTGTTTTTTTTTGCTGCCGCGATCCCTTATTTAATTTCCCACTCCTAAAGGCCGAAAAGGGTGAGCTACTTCTGCTGTCACTAAGGTTTTTTGTTTATTTATGCTTATAAGTGAATGAATTTTTCTTACCGTTGCCTGTTATTCGCACCAGGACCCACACGCGCGCAGTGAAACACGCTGTTTAGCTCGTCCGGACGCCCCACTCTTCTTCATTTTTCTTGTTTCATTCTCGTCCAGCCCCCTTTTTAATGGTTTTTGAAAGCTTTTTCCCACTTTGAAAACACCGATGCACGCAGTTTCTTCACCTCAGTCGCACTAGTTTCGATCTTGTCTTCCATTTTTCATCATAATCTGGATTACCCAAAATTATCGTGAACTGTGCCTTCAAGGATTTGTCCGCCCATCGACTACATTTGCAACAACTTACAACTGGGATTAAACCATCTATATTGTCGATAGCACGGGAGAATACTCCTAGACGTTGATTTCACCCGCTGTTTTGATAGCGACTTTGGAAACAAGAGTATCTTTAGGCGTCATTGGTCTTTGTCCGCAATTGCAGGAGATTTACTTCGAAATTTTTTGAAATTCTTATTTGTCAGCACTGATGAGGGAGGCTGTACATCATGTAGTTTTTTCGAGCAAATTTCTTCCTAATTGTCTTGCAGAAAATATTTATAAGCAATCTTTTGGCATCTCATCCATAATTTACATATCGATGGCCTTGAATATGCTTTTCCTCTCGTTTCCGGTCACTTTTCCGTTTAACTTTCGTTTTTTATGTTGTCCTCGAAAAAGCTAGTCGAAAATGGTTCCACCCATTAATCTGTCTCGATGTATATTAGGGATGAATGACATCGAGATGGAGGACCCTACGGAAAGCGACGAGTTCCATCTTAGTAGGATCATAGATGCTCACAAAGGCGATGTGAAATGTATAACGTCTACATCGGCCGGAGTACTTATTTCTGGTGGACGAGATGAACATGTCAGATTTTGGACGAAAAGGTCAGTTCCAGGTCTCCATTGTGGTATTAGTATCCATACTGTTTAATGGCTCATTTCAGAGGTGGGGAGTTTTCAGAAACTCTCTCATTCCCTCAACCGAAAGGATTAGCGGTAAATTCAATAGGTTATTATGAATCTACTGATGGTTGGCGATTATTTGCTGGCCGAAAAGATGGGTCCATAGCCGTGTACGGGTCAGGATCTAGTGAACCGTTGACTGTACTTACCCAACATTCCTCGAACGGTATGATTCCTATCACTACTTGTATCGTAACAATCCCTTTTCATTTATTTCTATCTGTTTAAAGAATTATTCGACTTATTCAGTGTGTTGCCTCTATGTTGATGAGAAGAACCACATTCTTCTTAGTGGATCATGGGACAATAATGTTATTGTTTGGCCAATCAAGGAACTTGGTAGCCCAGAATTTCCAGTAAGTGTCTTGTTTCCTGTGATTAAGGCGATTCTGTACATATTCTGTTCCTATCGCCGTATTTGCATTTGCCTTTTTTAAATTCATAAGAATATCGGCTGATGTGTAGAAAAACAGTAGTGTTTGGTTCAGAAAGAAGGTACTACGTCTGAATTGTATAATTTCATGACTTTCTGAGGTATTACTGGGATTATTGGTCAAGGAATTGGCCAAATTAAGGCTATAGATGGCTGAAGCGCTATATTCTTGCACGTGTTTTGGACTATTTAAATTTTTGATCTTCTCCGTCTATTATCTTTACGGCAAACGCGTCCCTCTATTCTTCCAGGCTCTGCTTCTCAATGGGCACAAGCTTTCAGTCTGGGCTTTGGCTGCTATTGAATCGTCTCCTGGCTACTACCTCACGGGAAGTGCAGATAAAACCATTAAGTTATGGCGAGATGATACCGAAGTCAGAACGTATACAGGTGTGTTACTTGACTGTCTACTTTATTCGCGGGATATTAGACAATTGCGCAAATGCTATGAAGAGTTACTTCATGCGAGTGAGCGCGTGAAATATGTTTAAATGCTTTCTAAAATGCGATCAACTTTAGCCTTTCTGTCCTTCTGTAATTTCTGTTTTTTTCCTTTTTCAATCA